ACTAAACTACATTTAAATTTAAATAGGGTCCCATTTAATAATGTACCCGTTTAGTTATGTCTGAGATGTTTATTTTATTTTATTATTTTTTTTTATTTTTTGGGGGATGTGGGGGGGGGGGTCTATAGCATCATTCAGATAAATTAAAGATTTCAAATTTGCCTCATTAAAATCTGATTAAAAATGCCGTAGACATCGCTTTTTAAATTATCGAACTTTCTGGAAAAATCTAGTTTGGATTATCTTAGTTTAAATCAACTGATATTTTAATACGGATAATGAAGTGTATTTTTACCAAGCTAGGCCTATATCCATCAATTCACATACAACTTAAAGTGCTCTCTAACTCTATTGATAATTTATATAGCTTAAAAAGGGAAAAATGAATTTGGGCCGCCGGCCGAGGGAGATGTGTTAAGTACCCTTCTTATTTTAATATGGATAATCAAGTTTATGCATATTAAGGTTGCTATAGATCTCTCTATTCTTGAATGTGTATTTGTTGATTATTTTATCTATATAGCTCATATTTGAAAAAATGGCATTTTGGGCCCCCGGCCCTAAATGGAATGTTATAAAAAGTTCATAAACTCTTAAGAGTTCTTTCTGGATAATGGTGAATATATGTGCCAAGTTTGGTCAAGATCCATTAATCCATGTAAAAAGGTATGTGAAATAAACACACAAACAAAAATTCACTTATATAATATATATATATATATATATATATATATATATATATATATATATATATAATATATATATATATAGATGCTATGAAATGACATATGACATAATTAAATAAAGAATTAATTAAAACAGGCCATCGTCATACTAAGGAAGATTTATATCTATTAAAAAAATAAGATGAGTGATTCAAAAACAGAAACTTTACACATACACACAAAAATTAGTAAATGACGTAATGACGCAATATTTTTGCTTTGGTCAAGTTCTTTGTTATGACGACGTGTTTTCGTCACATTTCCCTCTGCCGTCAACTCTGTATGACCCAATCTAGCGGATGCCGCGTTCGGTTTTGTGTGTGGCTTATTCCCTTTCATCTTGAGGTGTTTACTGCCTCTACCAATTAAAAATAATTAATATGTTCTCATAGTATTTTGTCGAAAGTTCGGGAGTGGACTAGAAAGGTAAAAATGTGCAAGGCGTTTCTGGAATGCTTCTTACACTGCAAATATGAGGGGTTCAGAGAGCATTAATTAAGAGATTTACGGAGATTCATTAAGGACATATTTTTTTCACTTCATGAGACAAGTGTAATATTATTTGTGTACTCATATATGTTTATTTGCATTCATCATTGTACATTATTAATTGGCACATTGTATTTTTCTGCGTACCGGTACACGAACATCCCATTCTCTGTAAGTTGATGATTTTTAATTATGTTTCTGTTATTTTGTAATCCAGAGTAAACGTAATAAATTGTATTAATTGTAATTAGTACTGTTTTAAATGTCATATTCTGGTGTTTTTCCTCATATGGTATCGTCCTTTGTTATGCACTGTTTAGAGCCTGCCATAACTTAAAACAAAAGATAAACGCCTGACTATTGAAGGCAGTGCGTAACATTCTTAAGTTAGAGGGGTCTCTAAAATGGGTTGGATATTTTCGAAAAAGTGACAATTAGAAAATTACGTAAATAAGTACAATAAATACAAAAATGTACACGGACCATCCTTCTTTCAGCAATATCATTACATTCTATTTCACAACAAATACAGTCACCGTCTTCTTGTTTCTCATTAATTCCAAAATGAAAAAATCAATGCTGACATGGCAGTTGATTTAAAGCGTGTGTAAGTTCTGAGTAGTTACACCTCTTTATGCATGAGATAAGCATATTAAGATTGCTTTAATTATTTTTATTCAAACATTGAATCTATTTTTTTTTTGTTGTTGTTGTTGTTTAAAGAAAAGTGTTATTACTCTTTGTGTGCCTGGTCCCCCATCCCGTTCATGCTATAGTAGTATGCCACGTTGAACACCAGACAGAATGTTAAGGTAGGTCTGAAATGCCCCCTGCTCAGGGCAAACCTTGTCAGCGCCTAGGAGTTATTTCCCATTCACTACTTCCTAGCTGCTTTAGTACATCGTCTGCTATTCAAGCGCACAATCATGGCATTGCTTTGAAATCTGAATTTTTCAAGTGCTAGGTGGTAAAATTGAATAGTTTGAAGGTCGCAGGTCGCGTTTTAGATGGAGTCATTGAAGAGAGGCCGTTTCTTTAGCAAAAAGCATTAATTATTTTTTTCCGTTCGTATGTTGGAGGAATTATACGAAAGTGTAAATTATTATTTTTTTTAAGAGAGCAAAAAATATTTACAAAAATGGAGAGGCCAAGACTACGACAAAAGTTTCAATATGAAGAGTGAAAGTAAAGAACTGCAGGCGCGTCTCGTGAAGAAAAATTAATAGCCCTTTATATGCCTCGTGTATGACATAGCCCAAGCTTAGTGTTAGGTGAAAGTGCCGTAACTTTCCCTAGAATCCACATCTATTTTTGGTAATGTTTAGCGAAAAATATGATTCATTTTTTTGCCTCCACTGGATGATGGCATGTCAACAGCCACACTGTAAAACTTTTATGCGAAACTATTTGAGAGTGCAGAATTGAATGTGTCACAGCCGTTAAATATGAAATACCGTAACAGGAATTCAAGAGGTTATTTATGAACTTTCAGAAATATTTACGTCTGATATAGCAATGCGACATGAAGTTGAAACGATGTGTTTTAGAAATAAGAGAAAATTAAAAATATTGTTTCAAAACTATACATGAAAACTCTGTGGAACTATCTACAGTAGTTTCACTAATGAGTATTATAACTGATTACTTAATTAATAATCTTGATGATAAGTTTGTAAAATCTCGGGGGTCAGCAAAAATTAAATGACCACAGAATTAGATTTAGAACCAATTTTAAAAAGTAAAAGATAAGGAGAGCAAAGAGAAGAAAGTGTTCACTGTCGGGATTCCAAGTGCAGATGACCAAGGAAAAACAAATTGAGAGTTAAGTCTAATACTGGACAGACACAAAACAACAACTCTTTATCGGAGAGATTTGAGCAGTTGCAAAATTCAAAATAATATAAGGATTTTAAGTTACGTAATAAAATGTTCCAGACAAAGGTGAGCTCAAAGTAGTATGGCACGGTATTTAGAATAAAATATGCTATCAAGAATATAGCAAAAGAAATGGATGTCATCTGTTGACTAAACTAGTTTTATCGAAAAAACGAAAAAGAAAAGGATGTCAGTGGTTGACAAAACTAGTTTTATCGAAAAAACGAAAAAATTGTTTCCTCCCGATGGGCGGCTTCCAATCGAAGTCGAAAAAAGCAAAAAAAAAAAAAAAAAACACAAATATGACCCAAACACAAGGATGTTATGCCAAATCTGTGTGTAGTATTAAGAATTTAAGAATAATGCTGACAAGCTTTACGATCATCCTGTCTCAAGATACAATAATTCTTTGACAAATGTGTCTATACAAAGAAAATACATATAGAAGGTTATATTAAAAGATTTCCACATCTAACGGGGAACGAAAAATGTCATCAGTCGGTTTATTGTTCACACAGTCCAAATTCAAGTTAATAGAGAAAAAAATATGATTGTTAATTTTTGTTGTTGATGTTGCTGTTTTAAAACCTATGTAATACTCCTTACCTAACCCTAAATTTTTCACTGCAATATGATATCATTATACTTAAATGTTGCGCCAAGGTTTAGCTTGCCTGGGTCCCCCAACAGTTGCGCCGGGCAAGTGGATAATTATAAAATAGAACCTTGGTGACGTTTTGAAACGCATTATTGTGAATTGTGCACTTTTTTTTTCCACAGCTACGACCTTCAAGCCAATACTAGACAAATCTGAGATTGGTGAAGGGGAGAACTTCACAGCTACTTGTGACTGCAGTCGTGTGATAGATGATAAAATGTGTCCAGGCCCGCTTTTCAAATTATCCATACAAAGGAAATTTGAAGATTCAACTGGATCAGATTTTGTGTCCATAATGATTGCAGGTTCTTTTGGGATTTATCCGGTAGGAATGTCCTTTTACCGAATGAGTGCATTTAAACTTAGCATTGGTCAATGAGTGTGCATGGCATTTAATTCATTAATTTCAATCGATTCTACATTGTTAAGTTAAATGTTCCCTCATCTAAACATGTTTTCTTTTTTTTTTTTCATAGAACTCAATCCAGAAAAATACCACTCTCCAATGTTCAGCAAAATCAATCAAAGCAGCATACTCATTTTAGATGTTAATCGAACTCAATCCAGGCAGTATTTGATTTAAATGTTTTACGAACTTAATCCATGCAGTATATCCATCTAAATTTTTACTTTAAATCAATCAAGGCAATATATCTTTCTAATTTGTTTCTTTAAATCAATGCAGACAGCGTATCCATCTGAATTAAGAAATGAGCTCAATCCAGGCAGTTTAAGTTTTCTCAAACTTAATCTAGGCAGAATATCCATCTTATTGGTTGCTCCAGCTCAATCAAAGCAGAATATCAATCTAAGATGTTTCTCCATCTTAATTCAGGCAGTACATCCATCTACTTTGTACCTCAAAATCAATATAGAAGACTATCCATCTAAGTTTAGCAACAAGCCTAATTAAGACAGTATAGCCATCAAAGTTGTTCCCCCAACTCAATACCGGAAGAATATCCATGCAAGTTGATCCTCCAAGTACATCCTCCTACTACCATCCTAAGTAGGTAATCTAACTCAATCAAGTTAGCATATACATCTAATGTGTTTATCCTATTCAATCAAGTCAGTTTACCCATCTAAGTGGTTTCTCCAACTTAATCCATTCAGTAAAACCATACAAGTTGTTCCTCGAACTTAATCAAGTCAGTATACCGATTTAAGTTGTTCCTGTAACGAAATCAAGGCGGTATACTCATCTAAGATATTCCTCTAATTCAATCCAGTCAGTAAAACTATTTTAGTCTTTTCACCTACTTAATCCAGGCAATAACCCATCCAAGATTTTCTTCCTACTCAATTCAGCAGTATACCCATGAGGTGATTATCCAATAGGATGCTCCTCTAACTCAATACAGCAGTATATCCATCTAAGATTTTCCTCCTACTCATTTCAGGCAGTGTAACAATCTAAGTTGTTCGCCCTACTCAATCTAGCCACTAAACCAATCTTAATCGTTTCTCCAACTCATCTAGTCAGTATACCCATCTAAGATGTTCCTCAAACTCAATCCAGCTATATACCCATCTAAGATGTTCCTCCAACTCAATCCAGCTTTATACCCATCTAAGATGTCTTCTAACTCAATCCAGGCAGTATATCCATCTGATTGAATAATTTAGCAGGCAATTTATCCATCTACGTTTTCTCTAACTTAATCTAGGCAGTATATCCATCTTAGATGTTCATCCAGCTCATTCAAAGCAGAATATCCATCTAAGATGTTCCTCCATCTTAATTCAGGCAGTGTATTCATCTGCAATGTTCCTCAAATTTAATCCGGGCAGAATATCCATTAACTTAGTTTGCCTTCGTAATTCGGGCCCTATAGTCATCCAAGTTTTTCCACCAACTCAATCCTGAAAGAATATCCATGCAAGATATTCAAGCCGATCCAGGCAGTACCCGATTCACTTCTGTCATTTGCGTGCCCTGGGTCAGCTGCATCCTCAACTCAATAGGAGAACAGCCAATGCTGTAGCGGTAACTCTAATCCAGTCAAGATTCGATTACTGTAATAGTTGTTTGTGGGGTTTACCTCAGAACCAAATTCAGAGACTCCAAAAGATACAAAATACTGAAGTACGCATTGTATCGCGGATGAAGAAATCTGACCACATCACCCCAGTTCTACGAGATCTCCATGGGGTTCCTGCGAGTGAGTGCATTAACTACAAAATTCTGCCCCTGGCGTAAAGCTGCATAGATGGCTCAGCACCGGAATATCTCAAAGAACTGATTTATAAACGTGTATCCTTGAAGAGCTTGCGGTCTTCTACACAGTACTTACTGTGTGTTCCTAGTGTGGAGGAACAAAGAAAAAAGTCTTGAGGAGTGCGCTCTTTTGAAAATTAGAGCGCCAACATTATGGGACAGTTTGCCTCAATCTTGTAAACGATAAAAAATCATTTAAGAAACATTTAAAACTTTTTGTATACAAAGATTTCGGAAAACCAGAGCGCGGTGAGCATGCTAAAGTGGCATGGATACCAGCGCGATATAAATATCAAAATCAATCAATCAATCGCTTTGTTCCTTGGGTTCAATCCAAAAGTTTTAATCATGATCATTCAACTCCATATTGGCAGAATATCCAACTAAGTATAACAATATCGATGTAACTGTTCATTTTAGGAATGCATGGAGAGGTATCAATAAAAATATCATTGTTTCTTTGTGTATTAAATGTAGTGTTTCAGGCTCAATCATATTTCAATGTTCGTTTTAATGGTACAACGAAATAATTGGTCGTCTTTCATTTTCAGAAACCAAAACATATTATTTGGCCATGGACGGCGACATTCCACTATTATAATGTGAGCAGACCAGAGGACCAATATATTATTCTACACAACACGAACGCGACGTGTGCTGATGCTGGCGTGTACAGGTGTCATACTGAATTCGATATGCCAAGTGGCCCGCTGTTTTTTTCATATAATAAGACACAATTGCTCAGAAAAAAAGGTGAGTTTAAACAACATTGTATAAACAACCCAGCTAGTTTTGCATGTGTGTGTCTGTGTGTATCTGTTTGTGTGTGTCTGTGTGTGTGTGTGTGTGTGTGTGTGTGTCGGTGTGTGTGTTTCGGTGTGTGTGTGTCTGTCTGTGTGTGTCTGTCTGTGTGTGTCTGTGTGTATGTCTGTGTGTGTCTGTATCTGTGTGTGTGTGTCTGTCTGTGTGTGTATGTCTTTGTGTGTGTGTCTGTGCGTGTATGTGTGCTTGTGTGTCAATGTGTCTGTGTCTGTGTGTGTCTGTGTGTCTATGTGTTATTGTCTGTGTCTATGTGTGTCTGTGTGTGTCTCTGTGTCTGTGTGTGTATATGTGTTTCAGTGTGTATGTGTGCTTGTGTGTCTCTGTGTGTATTTGCGTGTCTGTGTGTGTCTGTGTGTGTCTGTGTATATTTGTGTGTGTCTGTGTGTGTCTATGTGTGTATGTTTGTGTCTGTATGTATGTGTGTCTGTGTGTATGTGTGTATGTGTGTCTCTGTGTGTTTCTGTGTGTGTGGTTGTGTGTGCGTCTTTGTGTGTGTGTCTGTTTGTGTGTGTGTATCTGTGTATGTTTCTGTGTGTTTCTGTGTGTTTGCCTGTGTGTGTGGTTGTGTGTGTCTGTGTGTGTGTATCTCTGTGTGTGTCTGTTTGTGTCTGTGCTAGAGACCGAACGAAAGTGATTTCAAATTTCGGCCGAAGCCGAAAATAGGCCGAAAGTTAAAAATGAATTTCGGCCGAAACCGAAACCGAAGCCGCAGCCGAAACCGAAGCCGAAGCCCAAACCTAAAATGAAATATTAAGATATTTTGAAATTCGTTCCCGCATACATTCTGCTTACATCAAAAATGATGGGTGATAATATAAATATTTACATTATTTTTATAAAAATGAGATAATCGTAAATATTAATAAATAAAAATCTAATTTAGGGTTCTCAAACTCGCGGCCAGCGAGCCATTTGTGACCCGTAAGACGATATTTTGCGGCCCGATACATGACAGAAAAGTTTAGTGTAAATGCGCCGGCCCGTTTCCCCCATTCTCATATATATAAAACGTGACTCTCCGCGACGGTTTCAGTCGAATCTCACCGAATAATCTAATTCTGATTTTTTTTTCTAATGTCTCTATATATTTTTGTATGCCAGCTCTCTGGCAACAGTGAGTAGGTGGATGAAAATGAATCCTAGTTCTTGAGAACCCTTAATGATTTTTTTGTTATTTATAAAGGTTGACCAGATTGTAACAGTTGCAATCGCTTTTTTGTGGATTACTTGATGTGGCCCACTCTCATTCAGACACTACCTCCTGCGCCCCCCCCCTCCATTATTTGAGTTTGATACCCTTGATCTAATGAATACTTTGGATTTTACCATTTTAATATAAAACTTATTTAAATTGCTTTACTATTTTTTTTCAAATTTGTATGGTAGGAGAAAATTTGGCAGAAATTGGAGGGGGGGGGGATATTAATGCAAAATATTTTTTTTTTGAAACCGGGTCTCTAAAAAATGTGGTTCTAAAAGATCACTTAATTTGTTCTTAAAGATCGCTTAGTTTGTTGTTAAAGGTCGCTTAGTTTGTTGTTAAAGATCGTTTAATTGGTTGTTAAAGATCGTTTAGTTTGTTGTAAAAGATCGTTTAGTTTGTTGTTAAAGATCATTTAGTTTGTTGTTAAAGTTCGTTTAGTTTGTCGCTAGAGATCGTTTAGTTTGTTTTTAATGATCGTATAGTTTTTGTTAATGATCGATTTATTTGTTTTTAAAGATCGTTTAGTTTGTTCATAAAGATCGCTTTGTTTGTTGTAAATTATTAAAGATCGCTTAGTTTGTTCTTAAATATCTTTCAGTTTGTTTTTAAAGAACATTTAGTCTTCTGTTAAAGATCATTTTGTTTGTTGTTAAAGATCGTTTAGTTTGTTGTTAAAGATCGTTTAGTTTGTTTTAAAGATCGTCTAGTTTGTTGTTAAAGATCGTTTAGATTGTCGTTAAAGATCGTTTAGTTTGTCGTTAAAGATCGTTTAGTTTGTTCATAAAGATCGCCTGGTTTGTTTTTAAAGATCGCCTGGTTAGTTCTTAAAGATCGTTTAGTTTGTTGTTAATGATCGTCTAGTTTTTGTTAATGATCGCTTTATTTGTTCTTAAAGATCGTTTAGTTTGTTCATAAAGATCGCTTAGTTTGTTGTAAATTCGTAAAGATCGCTTAGTTTGTTTTAAAGATCGTTTAGTTTGTTCATAAATGTCGTTTAGTTTGTTGTTATTTATCATTTAGTTTGTTCTCAAAGATCGCTTAATTTGTTCTTAAATGTCGCTTAGTTAATTGTAAAATATCGCTTTCGCTTAGTATTAAATGACCGAAAACCTGAGTAACTTTCGGCCGGACGGCCGAAAGTCTAAGTCAATTTTGGCCGAAACCGAAGAAAAACTGAAAGTAAGCCGAACGTTAACTTTCCAGTTTCGGCCGAAACCAAAACTTGGCCGAAAGTGATAAAATGGCCACTTTCGGCGCCGAAACCGAAGCCAAAGCCGAAATTCGGTCTGCCTCTAGTCTGTGTGCGTGTGTGCGTGTGTGTGTGAGCGTGCATGTGCTGTCTTGCTATATGACTATACTCAGCGAAAGCTGCTTACAGCTGCATGATGACCTACTTGTCCTATCCTATATTTAAAAAAAAAAAACACATTTCGGTTAGGTCTGGACAAATGTGAACAGTTTAGTAGAAGAAAAACTAAGGAAATGGTATTCTTTATATAATTTTTTTTTTTCTTTAAAAAATAAAATTTGAAAACGCAGGATTATTCAATTACATTATTTTTAGTATTCTTTTTGATTTATTATTATCATGCTCATCAATGCTGTCATTAAGGTCATGCTGAATGTCATGTTGAACCGACTAAAACCATATACCGACAGAATCATTGCTTAAGAACAGGCGGGCTTCAGACAAGGACGGGGCACTACTGAGCAGATTCTAAACCTCCGAATACTATGTGAGAAATATGCTAAACACAAAAAAAAAAAAACCTATACCACCTCTTTGTGGAATTCAACAAAATATTCTACAGGTTTTGGCATGCTGCTTTATGGGCAACCATGAAACAATACAACATCAACACAAACCTAACTAGAATGATTTTCAACCTCCATGATAAGGCCACTATTGCAGCCATCCTCCCCCCCCCAACCTGTTCAATAGAGAGAAAAACGCAAACTACAATGGTACGGCCACGTAACAAGGAAACAAGGGCTTGGCAAAGAAATATTGCAGGGAACCACAAGAGGAGGGAGAAGAAGAGGAAGACAAAGAAAAAATGGGAGGATTACATCAAAGAGTGGACAGGACTAACACTGGGCGATGCTGTGCGTAGTGCAGAAGACAGAGACAAATGGAGGAGGATAGTTCACATGTCATCTGTGGCGCCCAAACAGTCCAAGAACTAAGGAACTTTATGATGATGAAGAATAATGTCATAGGCAAAGGTGAATAATATTGCATGATCCATGGGAATGGTAAAATTTCCATTTAAAAAAAAATTAAATGGCAAACGTAGGCTATTTTAAACCATTCATTTCTTGAAATTAATCATTATCATGCCCATAAACATTCATATTGACGAAATAACATGCATTTGCGTGTATCACGTATTCGTACTATAATTATGTAGTAGGTCTACTGCAAAGCTGTGCACTTTTATGATATTGGTTGGGACTTTAGGTGTCTTTTGCGAGCCTACGTCGAGATCTATGAACGGAACAACAATTTTAAGAGAAAAGGTTTAAAAAAAATATTTTCGCCACCAATGGGGGTGAGGGAGGTTGGTCTCCGAACGAAATAATTACGTCACCAGCACGTAAAGACTAGTGTGTTGTTAATAGGTTAAATATTAATACAGTGCTATGTTGCAAGCTATTAATGAAAACACAAAGCATTAGGATTACGAAAACAGAGAAACGTTGTGGTGATATTTTTATAGCCTTAAAAGCATATGTGTAGGTAGCAATTAGCTCTATTCGAACCACAGTAATTATTGTAGGTATATATTCTAGGTAGAAATTATATTATTAAAGCAAAGGGCACTCAAGAGTCTATTTTGCATTAATTTTGCCCCCCGGCCCCATTTATCCAAATGTCTCTTACCAAACTAATTTGAAAAAATTGTAAAGCAATTAAAATATTATATTAGACGTTGGACCTCGTGACAACACTAGACGTTGGACCGGGCTGTTATATTATTCATTGTACCGTGCTTTTATATTTTACCTTGGACCAGGTTGTTATAATTCCCTTTGGACGTTGCTGTTATATTTCACTTTGGACCGAGCTGTTATATTGGACTTTGGACAAGGCTGATAAATTTGACTTGGCCCAGGCTGTTATATTTGACTTTATAACCAGGCTGTTATATTTCACTTTGGCGCGGATTGTTACATTTCAATTGGTACCGGGCTGATATATTAGATTTGAGTCAATGCAATTCCCGATTATATCAGCTAGTAATCATTAATTGTATGGGCTTGAAAGACTGTTTATTGTAGACATGTTTATGATTTAGATCAGTGGTTCCCAAACGTTTAAGTCTGGCGGACCGGTGAAGAAGTTTCGACATTTTATCAGGGACCGGTGCATGATCTATTTTTAGACTTTTATTTCTATTTGACAATAAATATTTATGTTATGGGTACCGGCAGCGTTAGGCATGCGGGCCGGTGAATGTCCAGGGACCGCCATTTGGGGACCACTGATTTAGAGGGTGGAAGACTCGCTTAGATTTCCCTTCAACCCTGCAGGAAGATGTGACATCAGAAGAAAAAAACATTGTCATTCTTATTTAAAAAAATCTTAGCTGTTGATTGTTATAATAATTTTAAAATGGGCAGAAAACTACTTTATGTTCTTTGATTATGCCTAACAATTACTGAAATAGTGAAACCAGTGAAAAATTTAGCCGAAAGTAAGTTATATAGCAAAAAAAAAAAAAAG